TCCCTCATCCCCCTATCATCCACTTCTTCAGCTCCTCACTTACTTCTCTTTTCATGTTCCTACATTTCTCATCCCACCATCCTCTTCGTTCCTTTTTCTCTTCTCTCTCTACTGCCCATTCTACTCTCCTCTTTATCATCCTCCATTCTTCTTCCACCCCCTTATACTTCTCTTCCCTCTTCCCGAAGTATTCCTCAAATTTCTTCCTTCCCTCTTCCGACCAAACCCCCCTTCTACCCTTACTTTTCCCTTCTCCTATCCTTTCTTCAAACTGTCCTCTTCCCTCCACCCATACCGTTAATGGCTGATGATCTGAGTCCACCCATTCCTCCACCTTCATCTTCTCAACCTTCCTCCTCGTCTCCTCATTCCCAATCACGTAATCTATTACCGTCCTTCCCTTCCCTCCTGTAAACGTCCATTCTCCCTCCTTATCCCCCTTTATGCTTCCATTCAGAATCGACCATCCTAATTTTCCCAAAAAACTACACAATTTCTTCCTCTCTTCATTCATTTTTTCATCGTTCGACTTCCTCCCCCACCCTTCCCCTTCTTCCTCCTCCCTGCCCAATCTTCTCCCTCCTCTCCCCGTTCTCGCATTAAAATCCCCCCCTATTAATACCTTCACCCCTTTCTCTCTGTCTTCCATCCACTCCCTTAGCAGCCTCATTTTTCCCTCCAGATCTCCATTTACATATACTCCCACCAATCTCCACCACACCTTCCCTAACTTAACCTTACTCCCTCCTTCATTTTTTCCCGGTTTTCTCTCTCTCTTGCTATTCTTTCCCTTATCCCCACAATCGTCCCCCCCATTGCTCTCCCCTTTTTATTCCTCTTTCTAGCCTCCTGCATTTCCCACATATAACCCTTCGGCAGCCATTCTTTCACCCTCACCCACCCCTTCCTCTGCAGCCATGTCTCACATAAAAACATCACGTCCCACTCCATTAACTTCTTCCTAAAATCCTCCTCCTTATTTTCCATGCCCGCCACATTGCAGTAACCTACTGTATATTTTTTATCTTTTCCTTTTATTCTCTTCCTCCACCTTCTCCCACCCTTTTTATTCCCCCTGTTCTCTTCTATCTCTCCTTCTTCCTCCCCCCACCTCCTCTCTAAAAAACCCCTTTCTCTCTTTCCACCCCCTTTTCCCTCCCTATCCCCCTCACCTTCTCCATTACTTTTCTTCCCTTCCATTCCCTCAATTCGTCTCTAAACTCATCTCAAACCCATAACTTCCCCTCAATCCATATTTTCATATATCCTACCCTTACTCTCTTATTCTCCCTCCTATTCCTTTCTGCTTCCCTCTTTATCCACCACTCTATTCTTCTCTCTTTCTCAGTCAGATCATCCACTATCCACTCCCCTCTTGCTTTCAGCTTTGCCTTTCCTCTCATCCCCTCTATTTTCTCCCCCACAATCGCTAGTCTTACCCATACCATCCCTCTTCTCTCCTTGTCCTTATACCCTATGCTTCTCACCACCGTTCATGTCACCCCTACTATCTCCTTGATCTCTTTTCTTAACCCCTCTATTCCCTCCTCCTTTGCTTTCACCCCCTTTACAATTATATTTCTCTACCTCTCTTCCCTTTTCCTCTTTTCCCCCTCCAACTCTAGCCTCTTCATTTTTCCTTCTACTTCCTTCATCTCTCCCTTTCTCCTTAACTCCAACTGTTCTATCTTTTCCTTTACCTTCTTTTCCCCACACCCTTCCTCTTTCTCCTCCCCTCCCTTATCTTTCTCCATTTCCTCTACTCTTTCCTCCAAACTGTCTAATCTCCTTCTCATTTCCTCCATCCATTCTCTCATCTCCGTCCTCCCTTCCTTCACCTCTCTCAATTCCGCTTTCACCTCCATGAAACCTTCTTTCACCTTCCTCAGAATCTCACTCATCCTCCCTTCCACCTGTTTTTCTGGTTGTTCCATTAACTGAGTTTCTATCTACTTCCCTAATTGCTTTTCCGTCTGTTTCTCTGGCGATCTCATTACTTTTACGCTTTTCTTGAAAATTCCTGCCTGTATTTCCTCCATCTCCTTCCT